TTGTGGCACCGGTCCCGCAGCACTGCTGGAGCAGCCCCCTCCGCCGTCCCCACCGCCAGACAAAGGCGGCACAGAGCAGAGGGTGAAACCAGAGCCCTTTATTTGTGTCCTCGCAGGAGCAGAGGGAGGAAGAGCCCAGGGCAGGCAGAGCAGCTGCTGAGCTTGAGCCAGGGGAAGGGACAGAGAGGAAAAGAAGAGGAAAAGGAGAGCAGGCCCCGAGTGTCTCTGGGGCGAGCCCGGCTGCGCTGCCTGTGGCGCTGTGCCTCGCCGGTTGGGGGAGGAAGGTGTCCTGCGTCCTGTGCAGCCGTGGGGGGACAGCTCTGCTGCTGGGATGGCACATCTACAGCACCACTTGGGTTATTGCTCACAGAAACGGATCCACGTTTAGGTTATTGCTCAGAGAAACGGATCCACGTTTGGGTTATTGCTTAGAGAAACGGATCCGTGTTGCAGCAGGGAGGCCCCCGGGAAGACAGGAGAGCCGGGCAGGAGCTTGGTGAGGGGAGGCAGCTCCCTGCCTGCTAGTGGAAGGCACAAATTGGTACTGAGGGCAGAGAGGGGCTGTGCTCTGTGCAGCGTGGCCTCCAGCCAGGAGCATCTCTGTATGCCTCCCCCCACCCACAGGGCTGCCCTCGGTTTGCATAAGGAGTTAAAATCCGATCCTGGGAGAGCAGAGCGGCTGCAGGCAAGGCAGCTTCCCAGGGCCCCACCTCTGCAGGCTGCAGAGACGGCAGGCGAGGCCTGCCATCTCGCCTGCCGGGCGTGAAAGGGGAGCAGGAGAGTGTCCTGCCTAAGGCACTGTGTGGCACTGCCAGGCTGGTGAGGAGTGGGGGCCTCTGCCGCTCTGCTCCCTGAAAGAGGAAACGTCTGAGACCACGAAGAGCTGCAACAGCCGGAGGAGCAGTTCCGCTGGAGAGCTGCAGGGCTCTCACAGGACAATCTTGAAGGAGCTGCAAGAGATATGACAGGTTCTATACCTCTTCGCTGGGTCACATGCAAACGGTTTGCGAGTGCTCAGTGCTACGGGGAGGCAGTGTTACCCCGTGCGGGAGAGGCTCTCCACAGAGCTAGCATGGGATTCAGTTCCCTCTGCTGTTACAGAAGACCTCGTACAGGGTAGCCTTGCCTTACTGCCACCGAGAGCTCTGCCCCAACACCAGCACAGCGATCAAGGTGGGCGAACCCCCCAGAGAGGCCTCCTGGGACAAGCTGTGCCGCGGGAGACCACCGTACCTGGCAAAGTCTGGGGAGCGGGAGACGACGTGCTGGAACTCGGAGAGGTTGATGGTGCCGTCCTTGTCGATGTCGGACTCCTCCAGGATCTGGAGGGGAGGGAAAGGTGAGCGGCGAGCTCTGTGTGACTGGGACCGTGCAGCGGCCCGTGCCCTGCCTCACAGTCCTCACGTTTTGGATGAGCTGCTCCATCTCCGTGTTGCTCAGCCGGGACTGCTCGCCTTGCCCCGTCAGACAGTTCACCAGTTTCTCCAGGTCCTTTCTGTCCAGAGTCCCATCGTCATCAAAGTCTTTGGGAAGAAGAAAGTTACATTTCAGCAGGGCCGCAGCGACCCCAGAGAGTCACAAGCACCTGCGAGGGAAGGGCCTGGCAGCCTGCGGACATGGCAGGCTCCACACTGCACCTCCAGCGCCAAACCAGCAGTTCCCACAGGGAGTTCCTAAAGCCGCCATCCCCGTGGGTGCTCCGAGGGCACTGCCAGCCCTCCTGAACACAGATTCATCCCAGCCCTCCACCCTCCCCGAGGTGCAGGGACCCCAGGACACGGCATCCGCGCCCAGCATTACCAAAGATGCGGAAGGCGTAGTGGGATTTGATGTCCGAGGTAGCGGAGTCGCTGAAGACGCTAAGCATATCAAGGAAGTCTTCAAAGGACATGCTGTCGTCCCCATTATAGGAGGTGGAGAACACCCGGCAGATCCGGTGCTGGAAGGGGTTTGCCTGCCAACACAGGAATGGCTCAGGGCCGGGCTGGGCACTGCCGGGCCAGCTCCCTAGCCGCCGACACCAGCCGTTTTTTTTTGTTGGGCCCCCCCCCCGCCTGCCAGTCCATCACACACGGCGCGACCGTGCCTGTCCTGTGCCTCCCTGGGACAGCAGCCCCGCGCGCAGCAGGGATCTCCGGGATCCTCCGTGGCACGGCAGGGAC